ATCGTATAGTAATTTCCCCAAACATAATAATATTATTATTATTGTAACCGACAAATTAACGAATTGGCGCTGTACGAACCTGACCGTGTATAAAGTCAACGTATATTATACCAATAAAACACTTTTTCCCCTTAACTTTCATTAAAGTCTCAAAAATTCGACGCAAACGCAACATAACAATATTATATTACAATATTCATGACTAAGGTTAATATTATTATGGTCCTTAATAGGCCTACTGTCTACTGGTCGTTAAAAATTAAATCTAGAACTTAAAAGGCTAATGATATTAATATGATTGATTTAATAGAAACATAAAAGTCTGTTTTTTTTTAATGTCATGCAATAAATAAATAACAATGAGACATCAATGGAAACATAGGTACACGTACAACATGAGAGTGTAGGTACTTAATACAACGGTATTTTTACTTTAAGTAGTTGTTGTAAACGTTAAAATATCCCTTGGCTACAATGTCCGTTATAATCATATTATACAAATTATTTATTTATTTTTAGAAACGCATTTGAATAATATAACATTGTGTCGTTGTGGTCGCCTGAGAGATGAAGTGTGAAAGAGAAAGATATTTGCATAATATATTTGAAAAAAAAATCTTTTTTTGGAACATTATTAAGTATCTCTGATTTGGCTTATTAAATAAGTTTAACAATGATTGATTGACATATTTTTGGCAGTTTAAACTTATAGGAAATTGTCGAAAATAAATTAGCACAATATCCTGATTTTTATGGAAAGAAAAAAAGTATTTAAATTCAATTAAAGCAGTGATAATAAACGTAGGTATACTTACGGTTTTCGTTTAGATATTTTATAAGTAAAAGAAAAATTATTCTGAAAAAAAAATTAAATTGAGACCTTTAACATTCTAAAAGGTTGTTTTTTTTAAACATCAAATGTTTTAGTAATTAGTATGATTAGGTTAATGATTTGGTATATATTTATTATGTAGGTATGTGTTACAATCAGATGTTATCAAAAAAAAGGAACGCTGTAAAAAACATACAGAATAAGTTACTTAAATGTATAAATGTGGGGACTGTATTTAAATGATATTTTTTTAATGAAAAATATATATAACTATCAACACCTTTTAAGGTTTTTTTATAATATGTACCTGCTCACGTGTCATTTTACAATATTACGCTGTATTAATTTACACTTGCTTTATGAGAAGCAAAATACAATATTTTTTTAACTGTATTTAGTTTCACACAAGTGTAATTAATAATTATAATAGTTAGTTCGATTTTATATCGATTGTAATGTGACCCGGAAGTAGAAAAATATTTTTTTTAAAAACCCGTATTTACACATTTTTCGATTATTAATTTTGACATTTAACACAAAAAAAATGAACTATATCAATAACTTTCTTTTCATGAATCATATTCGCATTTTGTAAATTTCATAAAAAATATATATTGCTTTCAAATGTAAGCCTTATCGTCGTTTTGCTAATTATACTAGTATGCATATTAGATTTCCGTCTTTAGGCCATCGTTCCAACGAATGGATCATAACATTACTCGAGCGGTTGTCATAAATATAAATTACTAAAAAAACCAGCTTTCGTGATAAAATCCTAATTGTGCCTCTAAACCAACAGCAGCTGCTATAATATAGCTCGCCGACCAAGAGAAAATACATCCGTTTAAACGATATTTAAATATAAATAATCACCGAACATTGACGTTTACCGGATAGGTTAGATCTGACATATAATACCTGATTTGTATGCAATCAATTAATTATGGGACACGATAGAACACTGCGTTGATTGACAAGAATAAAATTTCAAAATAGAAAAAACACATATTTCCAACAAAAAAAATGACACTAAATAAAACCGACATATTAGTGAAATCCTGTCCAGTTCGTCCATTACTTTTACATGAAAACGCAGTGGGTAACTGTGCTCAAGATACTGGACCTGTTGCAATAAAAATTGTATATTAATTGAATGTGCCCGAATTCGATAAAACGGAAAATTTTTAATTTCTTAATAATGTCTAAAAAGATAATAATTTGCACGCATCCACCAAAGTGCTTAGGCCGACATCCACAGTTATACCTACTGTAGGAGAATAGAAGCAAAATGTTACAAACATTGTATTGTTTCATACAACTATTTTCACGCTGTTAAATATTATAATATTACTATAAAGTAAAGACGCTCGCAGACGTCAAACAAGTCATCACTACGATGATAATATTTGATGTATTTATACATTATTTTTAGTCTATTTACACTTTCACGCTTTTATATTGAGGGCGCTCACGGTTTTAACGACAAAAAATATAAGGTCAACACGATAAATACTTAGGCAAATGTATTTTATTGTTTTTACGATATGTGACAACCCGATCATAAAAATATATATTACTCGAAACCAGTTTTCATCTTAGTATAAGCATATAGCTGTAGTATTTCCAATGGTAATTTCTTTTAGTGTTGTCGAATAGAGACTTGTGAACTATCTAGCTTTAGTATTGATTAGTATGTTTTACTAATATTTGTCATACTTGATTTTTTTTTTGTAATTACAAAAATAAGTACTACTGCAATAGACTGATTACTGACATGTTGCCAGGAATCCGTTCGCGGTAATACTTCTATGCGGTTAAAGCGAAGAAAGTGGCACGAACTCGTGAATTACAACATCAAAATGAGCAATCAGAGATCCCAACGTCAATTTTGATGTCTTAACAAAAGAAATTTGTTATTAGGTATATTTTTAAAATAAATAAAAACTTGTTGTACGGGTGGATAAAGATTAAAAAATTAATAATTTAGGTTCAAGCATTGGCGAAGAATTGGGAGAGGGGGAGAGTGGCTTCGGATTCTAAAAACCGTAAAAAACTTAAAATCTGCGTGCTCCATTTATTTTTATTTCAACAAAACTCTCACACTAAAAAATGAATGTAGGTATTTTAAAAAGGAAACTTATTTTAAGTTCTAAGGTTTTTAGTATCCCCCCCCCCTTAATCTACGCCCATGGGTTCAAGTTGAGTAGACGTGGGAATATTAGGGTACATACGTAGATAAGGGTGTAAACGAAAAAAGCAAAATTATTTACAGTTTTCTGATACAAATATAAAGTGATGAAACCATTTCAACTTTTATCGTTAGATGTAAATGTTACGGTTTCAATTGAGATAAGTATATTACTTTGCCAAATATGACTTTACTAATTATGAATGACATAATTGGGCATTTGTGATCTATTTAAAACCAACAGACATTTCAGAAAATTACTTGTAAATATTATATTCCGAAATATTTTAGTTTATATTATAATATTTTATGAACTTTGCATTACTTTAAAGCAAAAAAATATTTTAAAAAATTACTTATGAACGCGTTCAACTTCTGCCATAACGCCACAGAAGTAATATAAAAGAAAGTAACAACGGCTATAACGACCATTTGGCAAACCGCCAATGAGTTATTTACATACCAAGTTGTCTTATGCTTATAAAATGTAAAAAAAAAAATTACATATTATGTTTGACTTGTATGATAGTCCGAAAAATGTTAGTTGGCTTTAATGCAAAAAAAATTATAAGCAAGTAAAAAATTAAAATTACCTAGCAAGCTGGAAAAGAAAATGACAATAATATTAGGTCTCGGAATTTCATGCATTTGCATGTTTTCATTAAATGCCATATGGGTGGAAAAATAACTATAAATGATACAAATTTGAATTACATTTTAAATAATCCAAATTTCAAAAATTTGTATGCATAAGTTAGCACATTTTGCGGTTTTTCTATTAGTATTTACGAATATTTTTTAATGTTTTCAAAATATTTGCATTTTTTAAATTGCATTTATCTAAAATTATCATAAATATAATGAAAGTATAATACAATTTTTTTTAGCATAATATAGAGAATTATAATATAACAAAAATTGGTATTATAAGATGAAAATGAAAAGAAAGAAGTTGCTAGTCATTTTTTTTGTATAATTTGTGTTTTTTTAACTAACAGTATTTATTATTATTATTTTTTTTTTATTAACGAATAAATATTGTAAATTTAAATATATATCATTTTTTCAATTAGACTTTGTGGTTACAATTAGCAGTTTTAACGTAAAACACTTAAAAACGCTTCAAGAGCATATTTAGTGTTTTATCAGTGATTAAATACAGGTCATTTTTTACAGGACATAAACGCATGTATATTTGGGTTATTTTAATAATTATTAAAGTTTCTTCTTTTTGTTTCAGCCACCGGCAGCCAACGTATGGTAGGTGTGATTAGTATCCAAGTACTAGCCGACATCTAGTGTACTACAATTATTACAAATATATAATGCGTTTTATTGAATGCATGTGAGTTATTCATTTTTTTACAGCGAATACTAGAAGTGTATACCGTGTATGACGGAAAGGAAGGAAATTACAGTTTTATTTACACACACTCTGAGTAGGTTTTCCATTAAAGCGCATGTTACGGGTAAACAACCACACCGGGTCTAGCCGGGATGTGCTATATATTATACGGTGTCGGGCCCAAGTGATTCCAGGACAAGACCGGTCATTAGGTCTCCGGGACCGCGGCCGCCGCGGGGGATTCTTCCGGTTCGGACGCGACTACATTAGGATAGGTTATACCGTGTGAGGCACAAGTACTGTAGACAAGGCGGGTCATCGTCGTCGTGGTCAGCCCAGGCCGGCCGTCAAAGCAGAGGTCAACGATGGCAATATAATATTGTATCGACGGAGGCGGCGAGTTTTAATTAATGAAGTCGGAAGAGACGCGACGTTTATAATAGGTACATTTTTTTTTTTTTTTTATACTGCCCTTCTCCTCAAACGGACGTCCGATCGAATGTGCGGCGCGTACAATATAGTAATAATAATAATAATAACAATATTATAGTCATAGTAGAGCTGTAGTAGTACCTAGTAGTAGTAGTAGTAGTAATAGTCTTAGTGATAGTAGTAGTAGAAGAAGAAGTAAAAAGAGACGAAGAAGGAAACGCGGTGAAAGATCCGACTGTTTGTGTGTGTGTGTGTGCGAGCGCCGTGGATTGAGGTTAACCTCATTCGTTCGTTGGCACAGACAGCGGCATCATGTCTGAATCGCGCGAGTGAACCGACCGGTGTGATATCGTCGCGTATAATATAATAAAAATTAAATCGTTTTATTTAAATACATATATTAATTTTTTTTTTTTTACTCAAATATTACTTACATTTTACCGGCGTGTCCGCCGCGTGTGTTTTGGCGCCGATCCGATTTTGTTTGCCGCGCCCGCCAGTGTGTATTGTGTCGCCAACTACAGACTGCAAGTACGAGAATAATAATAATAATAATATGATGTTTGTTGTCGTTTCCATGGATTACGAGCACGCGGTATACCCACAAGTGTCGGTTTAACTTTCGACCGTACTCCAAGTCCGGTGCGACGGCCGCGAACACCGTGAAAATGCCGGCCAGGCGCAAGAAGCTGTTGCCCGCCAGAACGCTGGCCCTGCTGTTGGCCAGCGCGTTCTTGTTCGACTGTTTAGTTCTAAGTACAGGTGAGTCCTCCACATTTTTGTGTTCTATTTAAGCCCTTAGCCATTCACCCCCGACCAAGGATCTGCCGTTTGGACCTTTGAATAGCCGTTGCAGGGCCAACCGGCAAAAAAAACAAAATTTAATAATATTTTATAGAAAAACCCAACCGTGAAAACTATATAATATTAAAACGTACGCTAAAAATAGTAAAAACACACTATCCGCTTTGTACACGGTAAAAAAATACATAGTTGGTCCGGCTAAAAACTATAGAGACACAATAAATAATTTATAGTTGCAACTATACAAACACTGGCGGACTGGGCTGCAGGGTGAAAGGGTTATCGCCCGATGGACTGTTAAAAATTTGAGCTATCTGAGCTCATGAAATTACTTATTTCTAGGTATTCCTCAACCGAAGAGGTTTGATTGTACAATCGCCCGGGTCTCTATTTTATCCCAGTCCGCCCCTGCAAACTAAACGCATGGGGTTACTTTAACATTTAGTTGGCATATTAAGCATAATTATTTTATTTGGTCAACTGTGAATTTTTTTTTCCATGTACCGGTCGATGCGAGCATCATGAGTTGCAATAACGCATATTTTGTTTATGCTGTAAAATTGTGCTTGTTTTAAGTTTTCCTAACCGTACCAGTAATCCGCCACTTTCATGACCGTGCGTTCAAGTCACCGACAACCATCCAGGTCTCCGGGTCGACCTTCTATAGTAATAATAATCATCTAAACCGCTTCGGTAGTTTTTTTTTTTTACAGCCTCCGTTTTATTTTTACGACGGTCGTAAATCGGATGAAAATATCTCTTCTCTAATCCGTGCGGCATTTTCGTTTTGATATCCACCAATATGTATGTATAACACAATACTTTCAAGTGGTCGTTTCCGACTTCCCTTTCGTTTCGAAATCACAACAATATTATTATCATTGTTTGGCGTTATTCTATTAGACTGCCGCCACCGCTGCCGTCTCGCCGGGGCGCTATGGTAAACGATACACACCGGACGAACACAATGGGCGACAAACCGAACGGTGGCGGCACCGGCGAAGGTCGATTCGAAACAAATTAAATACAATGGGAACGAGGCAAAGGCAAAATACACACGTAAGATCGCAAAACAATACTTTCTTTCGTGTTTGTATGTAAACACAGATATAGATCTTTAACATAATGCCATACACTCATATATATGTATGTATCTACCGGCGTGTACCTATCTACAACTTTTGTTTGTTTGGTTTTCCTACGAGACGTTATTTTATTACCATTGTGTTTTCGGACGCGTTTTTCCATGATGTCGGCAAATTTGTATTAAATGGGCGTGCGTACACGCTGCGGTGAGAGATGAGCACAGGGAAGACGACACTTATCTGTGACGTACAATAACAATATGGCTATCGGGTGATCAAAACCAAAAGCAGGCACGTCACCGCGCCGGATAAAAAAATAACAGCGAAAAGTAAAAGTACAAATTTGTTGCATTGTTATATTGTCCGAATAATGCCGGATGAAAACATAACATAACGTGGTACTAATAATAATTATCAATCAAAACGAGAGTGCGGATCACAACAAATGCAGGAAGTACATAATATGTCACCGACCCGGCGTACCTTTTTATGGAAATATTATGTCTGGGCTCGGCAAACATCTTGGCACTTTCTGTAACAGTTGTTGTAAGAAGTCGCTCGCCCTCGATACTTTTACCACAGTTGTGGACAAAAATTAAACAGTCCGTGCAACGCGTGATTAGGCAAAAACATATTATGATGGACCCCATATCTTCTAGTTCAAAACGGGGTGTATTGTAGTACACTGACTTCCATCGGCGGAGAAAGTCGTTGCGCTAAAGGCCCCTTGGCTTGTCGTCTCGATGATTACTGTCGATGACTGGTTAAAAACAATACAATAATATAATAACATATATGTACTCAATGTGTAACCAATAGCCAAGCCCTCGAGTAGTCGGCCGTTTGTAACGCTTATAATATTATATTATTATGTTCTGCCGACAGAAATATACCGGACGCTTCTTATTCTCTTTTTCTTCTTCTTCTCCTCTTGTAATAATAATAATAATATTGTTATTATTATTATTCGATTTTTATGCGCGCGCGCACTAGTCAAAAGCAAGATGAAATAATTACGTCTTTAAGCGTTTCACTTAAAACGGTTCAACCTCTTTTCGCTGACACTTGAAAAAACCTCACAGAAACATTATTATCATTATTATTATTGTTCTATTAAAGCCGACGCTGTGAATAATAATGATTGCGTTGGGTTTTCTTCCCGACCGATCTTGCAGACCTTCAATATTTTTGTTATTGTTGTTATTGTTGTGGTTCTAGAACAAGTTCTGATTTTATTCGTTCTAATATATACCACTGATCGAACGTCTTTAAAAACATTTTATGGAAATTAAACAAGATCAACGTACTCGGTCGGTTTTTTGTAAAAGACACCGCGGTGGTAATGGCGCGTTGAGCCATGGCCGTCACAGGCGAAATCCTCCGGCGAAGGCTTTACATACACTTTGGTGGGAACCCATAAGTCACCATAAGTGCGTCCCGGTCCAAATGTAAACACCAACTTCGACGAAACCGAAAAACCCAAAGAAAGCGCGGATCCGTGGCGACTGTGAGCATATCATAACCACTTTTAATGTATTCAGAAAATTTGGGATTCTACATTATTCAAGATACTATGATTTTATTTGAAAACCCTAACATGCCTTTACTGAACAATTTATATTTAATATTTATACGCCTTTGGGATGGATACAAAGTCGGGTAATCCGCCATGGGAATTCAACGATGATGTTTCCTGAAATATCAGATCCCTATAGGTACCTACTGCGTAAAACGGATCAACCGAACAATTATTTTTACATAATTAGTATTTAATTTCGTAATTGGGTCGTTTTTAATGTATGGGCTTTTGTTTGTCCGGCGCTCAAAGCTAAAACCGAAAACGTCGCCCCCATTATTGTTGGTTTTGCCGCAGACGTTTCTTTGGTGCAGCAGCAATTGGCGTCAGCCACTGCAATCGTGCCTATAAAGCGGCGGTATTATTGTATTCTATTCTCGGTCATTGAGGAAAAGAAGATTTTTTTTTCTTTTTTGGCGGTGGTTCGGTCGTGAGCAATGGTCACGGGGCAGAGGGAGAAAAATAATCGCCGGATGACGGTCGTGGGTTTATACCATTCGGCGGCGGCGGCGGCGTCTGACACAATTTCTCAGGTCGATCGGAGCCGGAAGCCTCCGAGCATAGTGTATAATATTCTATGTATTTATATAGGTGGCACAACCAGTCAAACCACACTCGGTTTTATGTGCTAATGCCGTTTTGCCGGCAACTCTCGACTTCGGCACGTCTATCCGCCTATATGCTGTCCATGTTGGTGCGAACGGTCCAAACGAATTCCGAAAATGTGTTCGCTAATTTAGTTTGTTTGTATTAATTTTTTTTTGCTTGCTACTTTTACATATCCACATCAAGTCCCGAGGCCAGACATAGGTACACACAAGTTATTCCACCGGACCGTGTGCTGTGTGACTCATCGACTCGATCCATTCGGTATTAAAGCGACCGCGCATCGGTAAAACTATTAACAACAGCAGAGTTCGTATGCGATGGCCCGCAGGTGAAAACTACCCACGGAAATTGAAACGATGCCGCCGCCCAATAACAATTAAAGATCCAAACTAAATTTGCCGACGCGCATGTATATATATATATATGATGATAAAATTGCATTCCTTAATAAACGACCTGTCCCGGACGTACCACGGAAGAAAAAAAAACTTACAAATACACCTCTAAATAGAACAAACTGAAAGTTTGCCGAAGTGTTGTGTTGTAATTGATTAGGATGAGTTAAAAAACTATTGTTGGAAGTGAGGGAGGGGGGCGGGACAAAGTATGAAAATTCTCCCTACGGAAATCACACACAATATCTATAAAACAAATTCAATCATATTCAAATCAACGTTCGCAACCAGTATTGTTTAGAAATCTAGCCTTGTTGAAATAAAAGAAAAGTTGTATATTACCATATTATGGTTTAAGGTGTTCCGTTAAGAACGCGTAACGTATTATCTGTGAATTAAAATTAATCACTCGACGTTAGTGTGTTACGTGAACAGAGTACGATCATCACGTTTGTTTGTGTACATAGAAAAGCAAAATTGCCGTTGCATAACGTCGAGGAGAGGCTGTGTACGGGTTTAAAGCGACCGCCATAATTGGCAATAACACTATTGCCCACCCTGTGCCGTCTGTAAATAATTAAAAGTACTTGTTAATTATATTAAAAGGTGGCGTAACACAGCAGCGACCGGTATAGATCGGCCGGCGTAAATATTGCAATTATTGCTAGCCGTTTCAAAAGTTTGTACACATTTTCTGTGCCGGTGTATTATGAATTATGATAAATAACATAATCGTTTTGACACCGTCCATGCCAGATGGTCCCGTGGTGTTCTATATGTTTTTGAGTTTGACCAATCGACGATATTGCATTGCTGTAAATCACACACACATATTCGGACACTGCGGATTATTATTAGAGCTATCGAACCATGGGCAAACGTTCTCGGTGAAAACAGAGCCATGCCGGTCAGTGACTATACTATGGTTATCGTTATAATAATACCCGAGAAAGAAAATACACGTATTATTATTATTAAAAATTTCATTTTGTCGCCATCGTTGTCGTCCGTCGGAATGAATACATAAAATGCGGTATAATATTATTTATATGATATCCAAACGGCTAGCACGTGGTTTTCCTACACCTACCTATACCTACACCATCCGGCCGACCTTGATGACCATTTGACTTGAATTTAAATAGGTAACTCCAGCGTAGATACTCGTGTAAACACCGACGATAACCCATAAGGCACTCTTGTACATAGCAGTTGTTCGGATCTCGGTATACGATTAAAAGCGAAACTAGCAAAACACAAAAAACTGGTATGCGCGCCAGTATGCAATCATAA